GGCTTTCTGATGGATCATGGCGCGCAGTCTGGGCGGTTTCGACCTCGGTCGGGGTCAGGTGGTGTGCGGGGGTGGTGTGAAGCTGGACCACACGGAGTGGAACTACCACAAGCCCTGGCTCAAGGACCGGCCCCGAATCGGCTTCTCGGGTTTCGGGTTGCGGGTTTCGGTCGGCTGGGCCCCAAAAGGTTTTTCTGGTCTCTACGGGTGAATGTTGATCCCGGAGTAGTACACATCTCGCTAGTATTTGGGGGGTGTTGTCTGCCAAAGTGATGAACCCCCACTAGGAGACACTCCCCTATTCATCAACCGGGCAGACAAACAACAGGGCTTCCCATTTTTTACTCCCATGCAAATTAACGGAAATAGCCCACCCACCCCCCCAACAAAAGTTCCTCTAGAAATGGGTGTTTTCTTGGCTCCAGGTTGATACCACAAGTTTGTGAAAAAGTCTTATGATTATGGAGACATTCGGGCGGCCGAAGCCCTTCTTCCTGGCAAAGGGTTTCTCACCGGCGACAGCCACGCCCGTGATATTCGGTCCTGGAAACCAATGGCTATGAACTTTTAGTGGTTGGAACCCCCTGCAAAGTGGTTGGTGGACATACATCCCCACCTAAATGATGTCCACCAAAGGGCCCCGAATTGAAAGTTCATACCCAAACGGATTTTCCATCAACCGACAAATGTTCGATCGCCCTTGTGCTGGGGAAGTGGAAGTTGCTTTAAAGTGAAACCAAGAGAAACTCATAGAGTTTCGCTTATGAGCAACCCCCGTAAAGCTTGCTGCCCTACAAACCATCCCCTATGGTTTCCTTTAAGGGAATCCCTAGGCTTATTCTCGACTGGGTCATCCCCTACTGAGCACCAGCCACAAAAGGAGTTCGCAGCTTTTTTGCTAACCCCACTAAAAGAGCCGTCTCCAGAAATCAAGGCTCAACCACTGAAAGGCAACGGACTTGTCCGTCTGTCCAATGGGTTTGTCTGAAAGCGAACCTCCCAAAATGGTGGTGCTTCCCTTTTTGGTTTCGCTGTGAAACCATCCCCAAAAAGGATACACTCAAAGAAAGACACACCCAAATGAGGGCTCATGAATTCTAGGGCCATCAGCTTCCACAACTAAAACGTTGAGGGGGGCTCGGCGAGGACGGGAAGCGCCCAGTGTTACCTCGGGCGAAAACTTTGCCCCCCCATTTTTTTTAAAATACATAATAATAGTAACAAATACATACATACATACATGCATGCATACATACATACATACATACATACATACATACATACATACATACATACATACATACATACATACATACATACATACATACATACATACATACATACATACATACATACATACATACATACATACATACATACATACATACATACATACATACATACATACATACATACATACATACATACATACATACATACATACATACATACATACATACATACATACATACATACATACATACATACATACATACATACATACATACATACATACATACATAAATAAATCAATGAATAAATAAATCAAATAAATCAAATAAATAAATAAATAAATCAATAAACTAAACCGTAAAATAAGACAGCATACAATAACAATTGATAAACTCACAAAATAAGATAAATGGCGGTATCCCTTTCAATTCCCCTTTCGGACCACCCCAAAAAGGGGCTGGCCACGAAGCTTTTTTACGGCTTCCGAAAAGGAGTTTCCCAAATGGGGGGGCAAGCCCATGTGGGGTGTCGCTTCAAACGGTACTCCTACCTTTTCGTTGGGGGAAACTAAAAGGAAGACAACGCATTTTGGGGGGTCCCCTAAACAAGAACACACCCAAATGGATGCGGTTCAGGGGTTTATATGTGAAAAGTGCGGAGCGCTCCTGCCCTTTTCCTTTTTTTTTTTTTTTCTCGTGGCAGTTGAAGATCCCGGGCATGTTTGTTGGTGCATTTTTGGCCCCACCAGGGTGAAAGTAGATGGCACGATTCCCTGTCTTGAAATAAGTCGAAGGGGTGCCACAGCCCACATGGGGAGACTTGCTATCTATTGTCACCCAACTCTACATTGGCCAGGGTTCCATCACCTTAATCGATGGGACACATCACCTTCTCGGTTTCCTTAGTGTGATGCGTTGGACATGTTTGAACTACTTCTATTTGTCCAAGACATTTTTTTTTATATTTTATTTTTATTCCCCCTCTTGGTTTTAAACGGGGAATCGATCACTATATACTGGATATATTTTACTTTTTCCAGGGGGCGAAAAAAGCAAATGAAAGACTACAGGGTTCCTTTCTTTTTCGATGGGACACATTGCCTTTTCGGCTTTCTTGCGATGTTATGCTTACGTGTTGAAACTACAGAAGCCCAGCTTTAGGACCTAGCCCCGTGCCGTGCCCCTGCCATGCCCCCAGGACCTGGTGCTGCAGATGCTGCTCACCGAAAAGGCGGGGCGCCCCTCGGCGGCCACTTGCCTGGACAACCCCGACGTGCAGTCCGCTGCCGCTTTGGGCGCATGCTGCGCCATCGCCTGAGGAGAGAGGCGCCAGAGGTGCGGTCAAGATACGGTTTGTTTCAAAGAAAGAGCCCCCAAAAAAGTGGGTTTTCCCTTGGGTTTGGTTTGTTTCAAAGAAAGAGCCGCGGAAAAAGTGGGTTTTCCGGTTTGGGCTTCCCTAAACCCAGGTAAAGAATGAAAAAGGTGACCGCAGCAAGAAAGTGGTTGGGACCAAATCCTACTAGCCCTCTCTACCCGGATTTTGATTGCAGCTCAGAGGAAGATAGTCCAACCAGAATCTGGGGCCTTCAAAGAGGGGTTCGTCCCCGGCTGACAGGACACAGTATCGGTCACGTTCAGAAACCAAGAGGAAAGCGTCTTCCAATACCCCTGAACAAGCAGAACTGAAATACTACCAGAAGGGATGCCCTGGGGAGTCATGTCCACCAACCACTTTTGAGGTGGTTCCCTATTAAAGATCATGGCCATTTTGAGAAATTCAAGGGGCGAGCCCTAATCTTCCATGTCTTTCCGGGAAACAAGGTGATGTTGACCGTGCCTCATGCGCTGACAGGAAGACGACATCCTTTTTAATGGGAGGGGCCTAAGATCATTTAGGTTATCTCGTCCTTTGGGCGCTTTGAATGTGTGTTTTTGTTGTCCGGGCGTTTTTTGCTCACTCCTCCCGACGTAGCCGGCGCTGGGCTGTTGGGCCCAAGGCCAGTCTTGCACTTGCACTGACATTGTGTGGGAACGTGTCAGGTTGCGGAAAGTTTTGGTGGCCCCATTTCTATGATACTAAACCCCTTTTGAATTGAAAAGCTGAGCTTTGCCATTTTTGAAAAGTGCGACAAGTCAAAGCCCAGTCCTTGTACTTCAAGCAACCAATAATGACTGACTGTTGACCGTTAACCTTGATCAAGCAGATGGAAGCCTTTGAGCTCTCACGTTTCCGCAAACGACAAAAGAGCTCATCTTACTTGGACCATTGGGAGCTACGAGACAGCAGGCTGCTGGCTCCTACCCTGGCTGCAATCATGGAAGTGGACAGGACTGTTTTTGAAGACTGCTTTCCTCTTGGGGAAGCGCGCCTGTCCATGTCCATGATTGTTGGAACGAGGGTACATTGGTTTGCCCTTTGCTCGCTGCCCGTCTTCCTCTCCGAGCGATGACCACGCTGCTTTTCTGGATTTGATGAGTTTTGCTGGAAACACCTGAGCCATAGGGAGGGAGTAGGGACAGTCCCAAGCATAATTGATTGATTCACCTATGTTCTTTACGAAAGTGCTTCTTGCTTCCTGATTTCACGCACTCGGCTCGGAGAGATCCAACGTGGCACTTGAGTCACTGCCCCCCAAAGGGGGGACACGTAGGTATGCGGGCTGTAGCAGGACTAGCCGTCAGTTCCGCGCGAGTGAGAAAAAGGCGGTCGGAGATAGGTGTGCCGAGGGGGGGGGGTTGATAGGTGCTTGTTGGTTTGGTCCCTGTTGCTTCCAGACATCCTGTACATGACAGCTTTGAGTGTATAGATTCTCCAATTCAGATCTGGCAACTGAAAGGCGACGTCGTCAACGGGCCCACTGTGAGCAGAAGGGCGTTCTGTTTCGCGGGCGTGCTCTAAAGGGAGTGAGCGTTCCATGAATATTACTAGGGAACCACCTCAAAAGGGTTGGTGGACATGAATCCCGGCCAAAATGATCTCCACCAAAGGGTCCCCTTTTTAAATCACAGCCATATGTGTCGAATCGTTCTCGCCACTTGAGCGTCAGCAGCTGTGATTTCTACAGCGCAATCCCATTGGGCGTGTAGCTGTCTCTCAATGAGTCAAGGGCTGGTGCGAGAGGATCCCTAGGGCGGAGAGTATGATTTTTAATAGGGAGGCGCCTCAAAAGTGGATTTGGACATAAATCGCCAGCTCATACTGACTTTGCTTTGGGGACCTTCGGTCGGTTCCATTGGTCAATTCGGCCCGACCCCTCCCGCCAACAAAACGTGGGGGAGCAAAAACGACCCATGGAGATCTACATGTTTGACCATTTTGCAGCCTACCTGTAGATTTCGTGCCCCAAATTGCCCAGGGCAAGACATAGGGGATGCGCCATGGCCCCCTTTCCCCTTCGTTCCCGAAGGAGAAATGCGGTGAGCACCATGCGGTTTCCAAAATGGGAGCACCCGGTTTGGTTGGTATTTTGTAAGGGAAACCCAACGGAACAAGGGACCTGGGGTCTGTTTGGAGAAACACTTGTATGGATTCCACCGGTAAATCCACGACCTGACTCTCGCCCAGTCCACCTTTAAACAAGCCGTCAAAAACGGGATGGCAGTGGGTCAAACATCGGTACCCAAACAAGGACTACCTGCGGTCCATATCCTGTTGGTTCAATATTGACCCATACCCAAAAACAATGGATCTCAGTGCTTCCAGTTGGATTCACCGGGGAGACCTTTGGCCTGGTGACCCAAGGGCCAAAACCCACGTGGCAACCGCAGGTCTGCAGGGGCGGCCCGTGTCCAACGCGGTGCGCCAGTGACGCCGACTCGCGCCTTCTCGCGACGCGCGACCTTTCGGGCGGAAGAAAGCACACATCCGGGCTGGGGGATTCGGTGCAAAGCCAGTGCCGAGAGGGAGCTCTGGGTGGATGTTAGGCCCATGAAGTTGGAAAATGTGCTTGCTTGATGTAGAAAGAATGTGTACTTTGAGAGGAGAAGTGGGTGTTTCACCCGTAGATGGAGCTCTCAGAGACGCTTTCACCATCATGAGTGGTTTGGGGGTATTGCAAATCATTTTAGAACCATTCAAGACATGCCAAGTGCACTCATCACGCTCCTTCTCGGCTGCTGGCGGCTCTTTTGGCACACCGTACAGATGTTCTTCAGGCCAAGCGGAAATGGGGCACACCCCTCTGGGAGCCCATATTGATCAGCCTTTAAAGGGTGAGTTCCCCGTTTCAGGCACTCGTCTTCTCAATGTGACTTCTGTGTTCCTCGCCCTTGCTCCCTCCAGACTCGCAGCTTGACAAGCGAAGAGCACATATTTGCGCCGTGAAGCGCAGCACTTCTTGCCAATTTGTCAGCCAAAGTGGGGCAACAGCTTGCTTTTGTCAGAACAAAGCATATTTTTCCTGTTTGGAGGAAGTCCCTCTTTAGAACTGGACCTCACGTGACCTTATTTGTTCTGCCGTTGTTTGTGTCAAAGTCAGCACAGAGAGAGAGGGGCCAAGTGGGGGGCCCAGGAGATCCGCCACACCAACCAACCCAACCAACCAAAGAGGAGATCCAATCAACACAGCCAACCAAAGCAACCCACCAAGCGACTTGTTTTTGCCCCCCAAATCAAGACCCAACCAACCCCACCCAGCCCAACCCCTCCAAAAAGCCCACCCCACCAAGCCCACCGAACGGAGATCCAACCAAACCCCTCCGCGTCGGGTTGGGCACCCCCCATGGGAAATGCGTCTCTGGGCGCTGTTGCCGCTTGGCCTGTCGGTGGACTTGGGCCATGAGGCGAGGACATAGGAAGGGCATGAATTTTTCTCCGGCACTGCCAGATTTCAGGGGCCTCCGCACTTCACTGCTTGAAGGGAATGACCCCTATGAATCATGTATGGTGGTTTCCTTTCACCAGATTTGTAGGTTCATTCCCAAAACCCCTCAATCGGTTTCCTGCTATCCAGCCAAATAAGTGGAATGGGGCCCACAAAAGCTGGTTTCAAAGGGACCCATGCCAACAAAAACAACAGTTCACTAATCTATGGTAGAACCACCTTGTCGATAGGTTTTGCAGTAGTGCTGCATCTTCAGTCAGGCTCGTTTGCTTCCACGTTTGATGGGAGGGCACCTGAGCCACAATCAAAAACCGGGTAGATGAAGGTGAGTAAGGGACCATAAATAGCGGCCGCCTTCTTAATTCTTTACATGGTTCTGCCTGAGGTTTTCCCAGATCATGAAGAACCCGACAGAGAAAGCCAGGCCTTGTCTCACTGGCCCAAAGCGAATCGGCGTTTTGCTTTTTGAATTTCCCCTTGGCCAATCTTGTAGTCATGGCCCCAATGTGGGTCCTGTGCGCAACCGAGACTGGGTAAAAAGGCCAATACAAGTCTCTAAAACCATCTTAGTAGAGCCAGAAGCCTCTGATTCTTTTGGGAGCTGCTGATTTGAAGCCTCTTTTGCAGGCCCAAAACTACACTTGCCCTTTCTCTCGGACTCCTTTTTCGGACTCCTCGCAGGCGGCCGCGCGCCTGGATGGCTGTGCGCAGCTCTTGCTGGAGACCCGCGGGGCGAGGAATCACGAGGAGGAGCCGAGCATGGGAGGGGCGTTGAACCGAGGGCTCGGTGCTGCGGTTTGCTATGGGTATGGGTCAAAATGAAACCACTAAATCGTCCATGTTTCCATTTACCAGGGCAACCCATTTTGGGTACATATTTTTGATCCACAGCCCTATATTCAGTTTGCGCCGTGTGGAAGGTTTGGAAAGATACCGGCCGATGAAATACTCCTCATATGTTTTGATGGATCGAACATGGCAGCTGCGCAAAGGGCTGGGAGGGTGGGTGGGGGTGGGGAGGGTGGGGGTGGGGGAGGGTGGGGGTGGGGGAGGGTGGGGGTGGGGGAGGGTGCGGGTGGGGGACACAATTAAGCGCCCTCTTGGCGAACAAGGACTATTGTCCGTGCCTCACATGGCAACTGCAGCCTCTCGATCAGGGCAGTCTGATTCTTGAAACATTTATCAGCAGATGTTTATTTGGTTGCCAAATAGCCCATTTGTTGTTTCTCCCCAAAGCACACCATTCTGTAACGTACTTTGATATCGGGAGCCAATATGCCATGGGAGATAGGGAGGATATCTGGTGAAACAGACACAGACGCAAGCACAGAGCAAGGCACCGCCCTGAGCAAACATATCTTTATGACAGTTTTGTTCAATGGCTTTTATGCGCTTGCTCTGTTGGAGTATGTGCTTGGGCGTGGCGCAGACGTCCTCGGGCCTGTGCGTGCGTAGCTCTACTTGTGGAGACCGAGATGGCCAGCTTGCTGGGCATGGTAATCCACATCAGCATCCTGCTTTACCATCTCGTGAATCATCGAGATTCTCTTTTGGGGATTTGAATGGGCGAGATCATGACAGAATTCTTGGGTGTGAATAAAGAAACCCACACACACACACACACATGGGTCACCAAAACGGTACTCGCCTTGACCGCACCTTCTTGGTCAGGTGTCTTCACCGGGTTCCCATTTCTCTTGGTGTGAAACATACATCGCCTTTGATGCCGAGTGAAAGTTTATCCACAGCGGGTGCTTTCAGATTGGAGAAATTCATGGGACGTGCCATGGGTTCCGCACCTCAGAGAGTTCCTACGCTTTCGGAGGGATCTCTCCTGAACAGGGGATTTTTGAAAAATTCGCCCGGTCACATGCATTGGCTTTGTTTCATACCATTCCAACGTCATCCTTCCCTCACTTCCCCAAAAAAGAATCTGACCCCAAAACCTCATGAAGGCCTTTGGAGGAAAGCAAGGCTTGCCACAAAGGTGTGCCACGGGACGATGGCATTCACCAAGTTTGCAGGGGGATTTTCTCACCAAATGTCCCACCATCCAGGACGATTCCAACCACATTCTTTCGCACACAGAGCTCATTCAAGACTTCCCCTTGAATGCCAAGGGGATTCACAAAAACAGTCCCGCAAAAAACGCAGCCCATCCTGAAAACCGCACAGTTTGGCCGTAGGAGCTCATGTCCTGCCGAGTGCCTCTGCTGGGCTCCCTGCATGAGGACCCATAGCTGCAGGCCATGTTTGGGAGTGTGAGGCAAGCAACAGGAACCCGACGAAATCCGTTTCGCGCCATGCAAGAAACCCTATGATGGTTCCCCTGTAGATACCAACTAGCAAGGGCTTCAACCGTGGTTTCAAAGAGGTGCGAAATGGTTTTCGCAACCATCCACAGTATCTTGGGGCTGTTTTCATAGCTTGTGCATTTAGACATCCACGCATGGTGTGCCCCGACCAACTTGCGGCTTCCTTGAGACAGACAGAAAACGGGCTTCCTTGTACCCACCGGCCGTTTTTGACGATAGCTCATTTTGAAGTTGGCTTGGAGAACGGATATATTGAATACCGGATTTGAGGTTTCCCCACCATGTCGAGAAATAGATGGGTGTCTTTTTTAGGCAATCCCAAGAAATGAGTGGTCTTCCTTCCGGCTTCCCTTCACAACCACAAAAAGGGGTACCCTTAAAAAGACAGGCCCTTGTGATTTCATTTTTAACGTTTTGGCGCACATTTCCCGTCAGAACCAGGACACGGACCGGATAGAAGGGCCGCCCCAAAAAGAGCCTGGTAGATCCAGTTGCTCCAGCAGAGAAAGGGGAGTCCAACAGTACAGGTTAGGGGAACCAACATGTAGGTGGCCAAAGTGGGTTGCTTTTCTGAATACATGGTAGCCGCATCCACTGGGAAGGATTTTGGGGTGTACAATTTCGCTCCCAACCCCTTAAAAGAAAGGGTAGTCTGGAAATTACAAAGGAAAAGAAAACACCCCAAAAAGACTGCACCAAAGAAAGGGATTGCCACTTGAAACCAACCCAACCCAAGTTGCCAAGCGAATACCAACCCAACCAACCACCATCAAAAGCTCAATCGCTCTAAAAAACCCAACCAGCTAAGATGTTTGCCAACTTTTGACTTTTTACACACAATATCCAAAGCTACACTTTTGCCAACTGCTTCTTTCTTTCTTCCTTTTGCACACATGGCGACACTTTTGCCGTTTGTTTTTGCTTTTTGACAGCAGCAAATCCAAATCAATTCCCCACAAGACGGGGGCAACCCAGGGACCAACGTGTTGCCAGGACCGGGTGCCGGGGTACCTCTACAACGCCACGGAGGACTGCCACTTCTGGGCCTCCTACGCGGCGCGTGACCGCCACGTGGAGGGCTCCAGCGCCTCGACTTGGCCTCGGCTTGGAGTGAGACACCGATGCGTGGGGCCGATTGGGGGGGCCGCTGAGCGAGGGGAATTTTTCGGTTGGGTTGCAAGGCTTTTTTTTCAGTTTTCTTGAGGGGGTCTTCCAGTAGATTCATTTGAGGAAGGGGTTTTCCTGAGTTTTTGTCAACAAACATCATCAAGAATGTGTGTTTTCTTCAGGAGTTTTCCTAAAAATACCGTGTCAAGACAGTCTTGTTTCTTGAGGGATTTCTTGTGCAACAAAGGAAGGGTCGCCCTTGTCCAACCACAGGCCTGAACCCGTTTCACCGGACGCTTTCGCGTCGGGTTCCAATGCAACCTTCTTGCAAACCAGGAGATGATGAAGGGTAGGAAGGGATTTGGGATAGACCACTTGAACGCCACGTGTTTGTTGCGATTCAAGCGAAGGGGCGTGAGTCCTATTGTGGGGAAGGCTCTGCAGGCCGCGTCAAACAAGAAATTTACATTTCATAGTGCGTATGAGCAAGGGCATGGTAGAACAGGTGTCCTTGAGTTTGCCCCTTTTGCCAGGGGACGCGCTTCCCCTTCTAGCTTGCAGGGTCTTCGGAGCAACTTGTCAGACACACCCTGCCTATCTAGCCATCCATCTGTCCTTTCCTATCCTATCATTTCCTTTCCTTTCCTTGCCTTCCTATCCTATCACTCTACATGTGTGCATCACATACTCACACATATATATATATATATATAATATAAATATATATATATATATATATATATACATATATGTTCCAGGTCGTGAACCCCCCCCCTGACCCCCCCCCCCAACCCTCCCCGCCTCCCTGTAGGGTTTGTGGGGGTGGGGTGGGGTGGTTGGGTGGTTGCGGTGTGGTTGGTTTAGGGTTGGTGAGTTAGAGTTGGTTTGCGGTGTGTGTTTGGGGTGCGAGGGATGCTTGGGCGCGGGTTCACTGGGTTAAAGGGGTGGGAGTCTGGGACCGGAGCTGCATGGACAGCATCCCCAGCATTGCCAGCATCATCGATATGTGTAGTCGGCCTGAAAACTAGAACATATATATATATATGTACATTGTGCATACATGTATATACATATATACAACCCAGATCTGTACACATGAGTATACATATACAGATACACAACATATGCAATGCATTTCCCCCAATTCCTCGGATCGCTTGGTATGCACTTCACGCTGAGGCGTCCTGGACTTCTCTCGCCTCGCGGCCTTTCGCCTGTCGGCGCCCTTCGAGCCCCCGCTGCGGCGCAACGGCACGGCGCTCTACGTGGGTGCCCACCGGCTCGGGGAGGTCTGGTTGGACGCGAAAGAAAACCACGGTCAGTGGGAGGGTGGGGGGGTAAGAGGGAAGATTATACCCCATGTGTCGTTCTGGCTAGTTCTAGCTTTGAGTCAAATGTTGGAGTTGAATTCCAATTATGGAATAATTGGAGCTGATTTTTTGTTTTTCTTGGTTTTGACCAGTTGGCCCCTTAAAACCCCATAATTGGGGGGGGGGGGGGTTCTGGGAACATGTTTTTTTCCTGGTTCCGCTAAACGACTCTCAGACCCTTTTTCTCGACAACCCCGTTTCAAACCCCCCTGCACCAGGATGGGGTGGAGTTCCAGCGGCGCTTCGGCTTGCAGATGCACCTCTTCGAGCCCTCGCCCACCTATTTCAAGAGCCTGCAGAGGCCTTCAAAACGGGCCCAAGACGTTTTTCCCCCCCCCCCCCTTCCCGGTTTGGTGGAGTTGTGGTTTTTGGTTTGTGGAGCTTTTTTCCTTCTTCTTTTTTTCTCGTTTTTTTTCCTCCCTGTTTTTGTTGTTGTTTTTTTCCTGTTTGGTGGAGTTGTGGTTTTTGGTTTGTGGAGTTGGTGGAACTGAGGCCCAAAAGCTTTTTAGCATCTTTCCAATCATGGAAACGGGTAGTCTTCCAAAACCCTGTGATTGTCCACTTTATTTGGCTTGCTTTTCGGGATGGGTTGTTTGGCCACAAATCAACAAGCAAACAAGCAGAGGTGTGCAAACATCAGCCAGTTATGATTGTTGGAAAGAACAGAATCAGCAAATCAACAAGCTCAGAGATGCCACACGCTTGTGTCTCTCCCACCAAAACGGAGACCTTTGGCTCTTACCCCATTGCACCTCCCCCCCAAAATAAAAATAATCAGCAAAAAAAAACAGAAGACAAGAACAAACTGAGAATACACAGGTGCCTCCCCCCTACCCACAAAAGAAAGAGAGGCAAGAAAAGAATAGTTGGTTCCTCATTATTATGGTTTCCTTCAAATTTGGGAAATTGGGGGGACCAACCCGAAGAATGTACACGCCACATATGTCAATTTCTCTCTCTCTCTCGAGATATAAAAGTGTATAATATATGTATATATATTTTTACATAGATGCAATACGTTGCAGTACATGACATGCCATGCCATACATTACATTATATTACATTACATTGCATTACATTACATTACAATTACATTACATTACATTACATTGCATTGATGGCATTGCATTACATTACATTGCATCGCATATATATATATACACATACACATACACATATATCTTTACATATAAATATATATATATATATATGTAAGGGGCCGGGGTCAGGTCTTTAGCGAGTTGGCCGGGCTTCACGCTCCACAACTACGGCCTGGGCTCCAAGACCCGCGTCGCGCGGCTCCAGCTCAGCGGCACCGCCTCGCGGGTGGTGGACCCGGAGGAGGGCTCCAGCCGGGCCGACGGGGCCAGGGGCTGGCTGGCGGGTTGCTTAGTTGCTTGGTTGGTTGTTGGGAGACATGTTGCCTTTTTGCATGTTTTGCATTTTTCGGCATTTTGTTTGTTGTTGTTTTTGTTTGTTTGCATTGTTTTTGTTTTTTTTGCATTTTGGTTTCCCCAGGATCCTGAAACCGACACCCAGTGCAAAGGGCAAGAGCCCACAAGCTACAGGGAGCATATTTGGTATCCCACATGGCTGGTGTGGGGATTTTATTTATTTATTTATTTTTGCATTTTTGCTTGTTGTGGTTGAGTGGTTGAAATCCAAATCCACTTAACTGCTAAAGTTTGAATTTTTGCTCCCCTGCCAACGTCAAACAATGTTGGTATCGTGTGGAGTCGGGGCAAGAATGGAAGGTCCATTTTGAATCATCCTGCTGTTGGTACTCCAATCATGTGCACCAAGCCATCTGTATTGGCACCAAGCATTTTATTATTGGCAGGGCATTGATGGGGTCCCTAAACGTGGCAGGAGCTGGCCAAACCGGGTTTCTCTCAAATTGAGACCCCCAAAATGGTTGGAGACCCCAAGTACAAGTGGCTAGGTGGAGCAGTTGGGCCCCCACGGGCCGACCAGGAGGTCGTGGATGAGGCCGTCTCCGAGGCTGTCTCCGAGGCCGCCCTGGCCGGAGGGCCCGAAGATACTGAGGCGGGGGTCGATGGGTCGATGGGTTCGATCTGGTGCGGTTTTCAGCCATTGGCCTTTGGATCAGAAAAACCGCTCGGGATTTTTGACCTGTGGCCCTGATTTTTAGTTTAGGGGCACTTTTATGGGGGGAGTCAAGTCTGCGTGGGAGGGTGTCCTTGCCCATGAAAATATGACAACTCGTAGCTCTAGAGGTAGCTTCCCCATTCTTTCCAGGGATCCTTCTTTTTAGAAAACCACCGGTGAAACCCTGGGGAAATGGCGATCGGTTTTTGAAAAGACCGATGGCTGAACAGAATGAAAAAGGCATCAACCCCTAGAAGAGCCATATGGGTACGGGTCAAAATTAAACCACCAGGATGACCGCAGGTTAAATCGTCCACGTTTCCATTTACCAGGGCAAGCCATTTTGGGATTGGCCTATTTCTGACCCACAGCCATACCCCCCCAACCGCTTTGTTGGGATCAACGAGCGTCCGTCCGGCGGGCGGAGAGGCCCGGCGCCCCGCCCAGGCAGTGTGGATCCGTGCCGCCGCGGAGGCGATCCCGGAGGTGCTGGGCAGCGAGGAGGCGGGTGAGTTTTTCCCCTTTCCAAGCTGAGCCGCGGCCTGAAAATTCGGGTTGCTAGAACGAACTCATTTTCTGAGTTCCTGGACTTTCCCATTTTTGGGGGAGGGTTTCTGGATGAACTCACTTCCTGAGTTTGTAGATGACTTCATGAGATAAACTGTTCCTGGACTTTTCATGAACTTTCCCTGAGTTGCTAGATGGGTATGGGTCAGAATAAGCCCACCAGGATATGGACCGCAGGTTAAATCGTCTTTGGTTCCATTTACCATAATTCCATTTTGGGTACGCATTTTTGACCCATAGCCAGATGAACTCACTTCCTGAGTTCCTAACTTTCCCATTTTTTTGGCAGGTTTTCTAGATGACCTCACTTCCTGAGTGCCTGGACTTTCCACTTTTTTGGGGAGACCAGCTTAATGGTAAATAAGCAGTTTGGATTTTTTTTGGCCCATTCACTCAGAAAGTGATCGAAGGTTAGTCAGGGACAATCCCAACCGCAAATGGGTGCAGCCGCCGTTTTAGTTCTTTACAATGGTTCTGGGTAGACAATTTTAATCGCGGGTTTTGAGTATGACTCACCTGTCCACGTTGCCATGGGAACCTGACGCCCTTGGGGTTCCTTTGAACGGTTTTGCTGTACAAGAGACTTCCCGACTTGCCTGTCTGTTTTCCCACGGGCTTCTTCTGGTCTGTGCAAACCAACATCAGTTATACTTTGACAAAAGCAACGGGGCAGGCGCTTGTGGTCGCTTCTGGAAGTTCTTTTTGGGAACCATCTCCGCAGTGACTGGTGTACATGAGTCCCCACCGAGTCCTGATGTCCACGAAAGGACAATTGCTTGGTTTTCAGGGTCTATTTTAGTGGGGATTGGGATGTTCACTGGGGGTACGGGATTTTGACCCATGGCCAAATCACAATTGCGAGGGAAGCTGACAACCCTAATATCTATTCCCTGCTGAGAATCAGCACATGGGCGACTGCCCCAGTTACTTAGCGGGGTACGGAAGTCCAGTGAGGGACGTATCAGCTGCGCTAAACGAGAAAGCCTTCTACATGGCGGCATCCAACTGGAGACATTGTATTATTCTTTTTCTGGCTTAACATCTTCTGGGTGTGCCTTTTTGGAAGCTCGCTTCCCCTTTTCACCTTGCGGATTTGAACCGGTTCTTGAGGACCCCCCCCCCAACCTCCACAGCTCCAAGCAAGCAATCTAAACCTTCACTGCTGTTGGCAAGTTTTTTTTTAAGGTTTTCAGGCTTTTGGGTTCTCTTTCGGGCTTAGGGGTACATGGTCACCCACCTCCACACCACACCAAAGCCACCCACCCGCGGGCAGCTGGACGTTGGAGCCTTTTGTTCAGGTGAGCCACTTACTCAAAACCCGGGTAGATGAAGGGTAGTAAGGGATAATCCCCTTGCCATCAATAGCTGCGGATATCCGCCTTCTGAATTCTTGAAGCGTGGTTCTGGGTAGACCATTTTAATACCGAGTTTTGATTGTGACTCAGGTGGAGCTGCTCCACGTGAACTGCGAGGGCTGCGAGTACGACGTGGTGCAGGGCCTGGCGCAGGCCCAGCAGCTGCCGCGAATCGCGCAGATCCAGGCGCCGCGTCATGACCCAACCGGGGTTCGTTTTTGCCATTTTGGGTTGGGTCAAAGGAAAGTCAGGGGGAAACTGAAAGAAAAAACCTTTTTTGGGGGCCCGACAAACCGGCTTAATTTGGGGCTGCTCAAAAAATTGGGATGGTTTGGCTTTTTTCTTCTAAGTACCAAAAGGGGTCCACCATTTCGAGCAACTCCCCGAATTGCACTTGAAACATACATGGTTTCCTGAGGGTTATGCCTTTATCACCTGCTTGGTAGAACGAGGGGCTTTCAGGCGCCCACCTAAAATCAGCCAAGGTGATGTGTGAAACCACCCTCAAAGGGGAAATTTAGGTACTTTTGAAGGGTGGCCCTTTCTACTTGCTGGTTCCCAGGGCGTCAGTTTCAATGAACCAATAGGACCAGTCTTTTTGGTTTGGAGGGCCCTAAATATGGATGGAAAGCCGATTTCTTGTCCAACCCATCTTACCAAACTAGGGACTTGACTGGGTGGGACCCAAGCTTCCGTGGGGATACCAGGCGTTTTATGTGCTTCATGTCCCAAAAAGGGTAAGCTTTGGCCTCAAAGACGAGCCACCCCTGCAAAGGCGTCCTTCTTTTCTTTGGTTTTCCGGTGGAGCCCAAAAAGGGAACCCTCCCCCAGCCGATTCGTTGGGCCTCGCGGCCCACCTGTGAGGTGGCGACGCACTTGTTGGAGTTCCGGGGGCCCAGCAGCGACTTCCAGGAGGCGAGCTGGGCGGGTCGAGTTGGAGGGCGTCCCCTTTTTGGTAGGCATCTTAAAGGAAGCCAAAAGGGAGCACCGAAGCCATTGGGGGACACCCCTTAAGCGACACACCCAATTGGACGGCTTGGAGACCAACGGCTCGGTGCGTAGATTTTTGAGGCAACGTGTAGCCTTTTGGGGTTGGGGTCAAAGGGAAACCAACAGGAAACGCTTGCCCCCGTATTTTGGAGACAAAACCAAATGGCTATTAAATGTGGAACAATCTGGAAGAATGGTTGGTGGACATAAATGATGTCCACGATGTGCCTCACAATTGGCAAACCCTCCACTCAGTTTTTGTTTGGCGTCCTTTGAAAACCACCCCACCCACTTAGGGGTCTCAAGAAAGACACACGCGACACAACACACTGTAAAACGAGCTCACCGTTTTTGCGGGGTTGTAGCAAATAGCCATACGGCCGCAGTCCTTTCCTCGGCGATTCCTTTCGGTTTTGGAATGATTGCACGCATTGCCATAGGTGTCCTTTTTGGGTCTGGATAAAAATGGTTCAGATTGGTTTTATGCCCCATTTACTCATCTCATCTATCAGGGTTCCCTTCGTTTCCCCTTTTCGAACCTCCAATAGTGGCAGTTTTTGTGGAAGCCACCAGTACATTGCGGCCCTCTGAAGCCAACTTCGGAACACGCATACATTTTCCGCAAAACGATTTGGGGGTAAAAAGAGCTCCTCGGGGATTCCTGAAGTTTGTTTGGCGTGTGAAGGGCAATTTGCCCAACAACTCAAGGACGTTGAGGCCTATTTTTAAGTTTGATGGTTTAGTCTTCCGACATGCTCACCCGGTCGACCCCTTTTAGGATTGCGACTTTTGTCCATGGTACTCAGTGGGCCCATGTAAACCCATGTTTACATGGGGTGTCCATTTAGCAAGCAGCCCTGGCAATCCAAGTAACATACACACATACACAGAGAGAGGAGGTTGCTTTGATACCACAGGGTCCCTCAAAGGATGCATTTGGTATATATATATATAGATCTATTAATATATATATATATACACATCTATCGCCACCAGCTGATTGAGGAACGGATCCCCTTTCGCAGGCTTTGGGTTTAATTTCATGGGCGGTGTTTTTGTTGTTTCCGAAAGTGGTCTGATTCCCCACAGCCAAGGACACCCGCATATTCGTCAACGGGGGTTGATTAATATGGGGTTAACATTACCAGATTTGGTTGTGGAGTTTGCTTGCGACAAGCACTGCGTGTGTGACTGGCAGGCTGGAAGATGAAGGGGTGTACTCCCCAACTAAGTGTGGAACTCGGGAATAAGGGGGGTCCCTACATGGAGATTCCCTTGTGGATGCATTTTTTGGTTGGTTCCATGTTACTGGGGTCTCCGATCCCAACACTAGTATATATATATATATATTTATTTTACACGGTAGCCCAAATATGAAGCAGAACCAGAGCATCTTCTTCCTATTTGGTCTGTGCGATGTGGGCCATAGGTTAGCCTAGGGGCCATGGCTGAAGGACATCCCACCCCAAGGCCTGCTCCCAGCGCTCGGGTTCAATAGGGAACCGGTCGGACAGAAATGCCCCCCGATCTCTGATGCACACCCTTTAGGGTCCTTGAGCCAATTGCGGGCTGGGGACTGGAGTGCGCTTTTGGCATCTTTTTGTCCTTGCTTTCTTTCTTTTTTCTTTCTTTTTTTCTTTCTCTCTTTCTTCCTTTATTTCCTTTATTTCCTTTATTTCCTTGCTTCCTTGCTTCCTTGCTTCCTTGCTTCCTTGCTTCCTTGCTTCCTTGCTTCCTTGCTTCCTTGCTTCCTTCCTTCCTTCCTTCCTTCCTTCCTTCCTTCCTTCCTTCCTTCCTTCCTTCCTTCCTTCCTTCCTTCCTTCCTTAATTCTGTTTTTCTTTCTTTCCTATTTCTTTGTTTATTTATGTATTTCCTTCTTTCCTTCTTTCCGTGTTTCCTTGTTTTCTTCTTTGTATCTGTTTTTCGCGCCTTCGCCAGGCGGTGGCGCTGTCGCTGCAGGTCAGCACCCAGCGCTACTGCGAGATGCACCGCCTGCTGGCGCGCACGCACCGCCGGGTCTGGGGCCTGCCCTGGGTCTGGGAGCGCTGGACGCGGAAGTGAGCGACGGAGCGACCCAAGTGGGGTAGGGCCCTAGTTGTTTAGGGGGAGAACCCAGCCCCCAAAACGCGTTGGTTTTCCCTGGGGTTTCAACAAACAAGGGCGGCTTTCCCTTAGGTTTGAACAAAGGGGCCGTTTTCCCTTGGGTTTCCAAAAAAAGGTGGTTCTTCCTTTGAATTCATAAAGCAGGTTCGTGATTGATTGGGTTTCCAAAACAACAGGGGTGCGCTCAAAAAATCACGCCCAAAAAGGTATTCGGACCCTTACAATGGTGGTTACGCTTTTGGTTTCCCTTTAAACCTGAGAAGGATCGCCTCAAAGAGACAACCAACATCCAGATGCCCGATGGCTTGCATTGTGCTGTCTGCGCCAGTAAGTAGATGGTTTATCCCAGTATTCATAGGGTTTCATCCATCCCAGCCGGTGCAGGATTTGGTCCATCCACTGGTCCCAATTACCCGGTGCCCTTTTTTCCCTTCTTTCCTGGAGGAGAGATGCCCTGTTAAGCTCAAGTGCCGCAAAAGTGGGCTCGAGGAAGCGCAGGGTCGATGGAAGAGTTGGGGGACACTCCCAGCCGCCCCTTTCAGTCCTTGGTCTTGGGGTGGGATGCTTTTGGCAGAGGTTTCTGGCCCGAGAACCCTCAGGTGCTCTTTTTGCCGGCAGATCCGCTCCCTCGTAATTGGTCGCTTGGATTGGTGATGCAGCATTGGGTCGTATTGTTTGAGAACATTCCCGTTGCTGGTTGGTTTGAATGGGAACCCAAAGGCAACCCTAAAATCAATTGGGGCGGGGGGAGCCCGAAATGGATGGGTTCCTCTGGATCTCCAGGCCGAGCCTCAACAAACAGATGCCCATTTGGTGATGAGATTCACCCAGTCGCCTCCAAAATTTCAAGCGGCGGGGCGGACAATGACATGCTAGAGCGTCAGAAACTAGGATTCTTGCGAAAAGAAGGACACATACTGTTAATAAGACTTCGAATTTGCCAGTTGGATGGGTGGTCTCATGGATGAGCGGTTGTTTTGCAAATTAATTAGACGAGAAAATGGATGAGCAAAGGCTTCCACACATCAGGCAATATGAGGGGGATTTTGAGGTTGGATAGTGTTTCAATGGAAGCCGCCAGGAATCCAATCATTTGTACAGGGTTCCTCCTGCTTTCGCATGCGCCCAGTAGAGATTTCTCGGGTGAGCTTGGTTTTGGCCATGAATGTGATTCCTGTTGCGAAGGCCATTCGGGGTTTCAGGTGTTTGCATGCGGATGTTTCGTCCAAACGCCCCAAAGGCACGTAAGGAAGGGCCTTCCCCGTTCGAGCCTCGAGAGCGCGGGCGGAAGGATCCAAACGGATCCAAGCCAACGTCACGCCTGGCATGAAAAGAGAGCAACGCTTGGGATTGGACGAGGGGTGTCCGTTTGAACTTGTTGGCAGGGGCAGCTTGAGGCAGGGTTTGAATTGTTGGTGTCCACCAAAAGCACTTCGTCGAAGGAAAGCACATATTCTTCATGTTGAGATCCCTTTTGTCAGGATGCGAAGCATGCACAATTTCTCCAAGCCGGTCAAATATGGGCAATTTGCGTAATGTGCATGAAACCGCAGAGCTAATATAGAGCTGACATAGGGTTCGCGCGACTGTCAAGCGAAGGTGCTGGTCCACCAATAAGCGTCCCTCCATTGATCCAAAGTCATTCACGAAGAATTTAGCAAGGGTCTATGAATCCTGGGTGCCAATGGGTAGGCACACACTACGGGAATTGCTTGCGTCTCAACCCGCCGTCAATCACTTCCAAGCATCCAGTACAATCAAACAAAGTGGTTTTCAAGCTTATTTTGGCTTGCTGGATGCAACCCTTCATGTCTCACGTTATTGGAGCAGGTAATACGTTGGGGGGGGGGTAGTCAAACTTCCGCAAAACCACCACGCCCAAGCGACAGTGGTACATGGGTATGTATTTGTTAGGGATCTCCCTTTAGAACCACAGACATGGAATACCCTCAAAACATCCCCGCCCCCCTCCCCCCACATATGTGCCTCTTATACAGTGTGAATACAAGTTATGCTTGTTCAACTTTTGGGATCTCGAGTAGATCAAGATTCCATCAGCCGGCCGAAACAAACCGTTCTTCTGGCTCGTTCTTACACCGAGGGGAACCAGTACCAGAGCAACTAGCAACTTCCGTTTCTCGCCAGGTCTTTTGGGTACCTTCCCTCGGGCTCAACAACAGTTGGACAACAGTCGGTTCCATTTGCAGATCTGGTGCACTTCGCATGTTTTTTGCACTTGAGATATGTTAGCCTCCCACTGACAAAGGGCCACCAAACAACAAACCATCCGATTGATCTCCTGCAGAACCCCTTGGCAGAGAACTGGAAAGCCAAGGCACCTCAGGGGCTCCAAATCATCCGACCGTTTTCTTTGGTGGTTGTTCTGAAGCTTCAGCCTGACTAGCGCGAGCGCCATGGCCTTCCTTACGGGGGTGGATCTGGAGGGCCGGCTGCAGGAGCACATGGGATGGTGAATCCAATGGGATTTTCAGATGAGAAACATAACTTCCTGGTCGATTTGGCTTGATTGCGCGTTTGTTTGTAAATCTTGACGGATGAAGTTGCTGGGGACTGGGGGGTTGGTCCAGTTCAGAGGAAATCCGGATCACTTCTTGCACACCCCCCGGCACCTATCCGCCAGGTTTTTTTCATCCGAGGTTTTCAGGGTTGGGGGGCCATGAGTTGTGTATGGGTCCGGAGAAGACTAGGACCTTGTGAGGATCGGATCCTCAGGTATCGCTCCAACAGGGGCTGGACTCTCACAGCGGGGTTTATTCTCCTCGGTCACCTCACTCCCTTTATGATTCATGCTTATCCTTTTCCTTGCATCTCTTTGCTCTTGAGGATGAGAACGCATTCTTAAGGGAAAAGAGAGACGGCATTGGTAACCCGGGCCGGAACATGAGAGACTTGGGGAGAAAGTCTCTGTTTGACCCCTGGACACATTCCTTTGGTGCATTTTGCATGGATGTTAGGACTTTAACTTTTTGCCAACTAATGGGTTTTCCGTATTAAACCCCTAAAAGTTGAGCTTTTAGCCGGGGAGCAGATTTCGCCACCGAAATTCCTATTGAACTGGCACTGATGCAGTTTCTGGGTCCTTCGCATGGTGAAGCTGAAGAAGCCGATGCGTTTGCCATCGACCGGGCAGTGGGCACCGGGCGCTTGGGACCGGCGGGCGGCTTCCATGGGCCCAGGGAACATCTCTCACGGTTCCCAGTGACTCAGTGTCTAGCTTTTAGAAAGGGATCACAGCAATTTTAAAGCTGATGATCTTTTCGTGTGTGGTGACTCTTTTTGGACAGAAGTGAAGGGGCAGAACAGGGGTCTTGCCTATTGAGTTGGCTGCTTGGTGAGCAAAGCTCATTGCAAGTTGAGGTGCAAAAGTGAACTTCTTTTGGCCTGTCAACCCAGGTCAGTATTGAATATTGGGAAGCATGATTGGGAGTACTGGATTCCTCTCGGTATGGAACTCAAGCTTGTCAACCAAAGGATTCCAACAGCAAAATGACCTGAAGCCCTTTTTGCATGACTTTGGTGAGGCCCGATTCCACCAAAGCCAGATTGTTGTCTCTTCAGGACCATCAGCAGCTGGCACTGCCTGCCCCAAGGTGTGGACCCATACCGGGGGGGGGGGGGTTCTCCACAAAAGGGCTTGCCCTCCTTCCGTCCGTTTTTCGGCCAGAAAGAAGCGAGCCCTGCTTTGAGACAGACCCAAGGCCCAAATTAAAAGACTCTTCGCAGGAGACCTGAGCATAGATCAAGGATCTTTGGTCCGACCATGTGGCAAAGATTTGTTTCTTCGTGGAAACAATCCCGCAGGTCCAACTGCTTCTGCCCCCTGTGCGTTTTTGTTGCGAATTGGTTAGGCATACCAAAGAGTCGGCAACAGGACAACCCTGGGATGATTTTCCGGACAAATCCATTTGTCTCAAAATAAGACATGGAAGCACGCCAGACTGGGCCCCCGGTTCCCTTTTGGAATTCCATCTAATGCCACGCTCCAAAAGGCCGTCCCCCAAAGGACCGTATATAGCTTCATCAAGGCTTGTGCTCGGGAAATCATCCAAAGAACCTCCTGCTCTAAAAGCCTTACATGAGGGAAACCACCTAGGCAGAGCTGCTTCGAAGCAACCGGTGTGCCCCAAGGTCAAAATCCCATTGGGTTCTGTTTGTCAGAAACTTTAGGGTCCAAAATCCAGCCCCTGAACTTTGCACCGAGCCATTGTGGATGAGAGAGCGCCAATCCCCCTCCCCACTTGCCTTTTTGTTTGCGTGGCTTGTCTTTTTGCCGGACAAAATTGGTGCCCTTGTCGGTTGGTGGGGCCCTCATGAGATCTGGTTGCCTCTTTTTCTTCCCTCTTTTTCGAGGATTTGCGCATCAGTTTTTGTTGGAAAAGCCAATTTCAAGCGAGTTTCCTGGTGGCTGGTAGAAGCCTGTGAAAAATCTGCTGGTTGGAACATCTGACCTGCACTTGAAGGTATTCTGCTTTGGATTCAACATGGAGAAAGCCCAGTCACCCACTGCCCTTTTTCTCCTTTCTCTGGAGGGGCTCCCTTTAAGCGCAGCTACCAAGAAAACGTGGGCTCCACTCACTCCAATTGGGGTGGGTGGGTGGGGTCTTGAGCAACGTGGCGGAACTACCAAGAAAAGAGTTTTTTCCTGGGGGTCTAGGAAAGGCACAACGCCCGGTTCGAAACGGCTGGCTTCGGCCGTTTCGCCCCCGTTTACGACCCAGGCGGCGCCGGCGAAAAGCGGAGGACCGGAGCCGAAACCGCCGGCCGAGTTGTCGAGTGAGGCGCTTGCATCGGTGGATTCGGTAGCTTTGAAAATGCGGTGGATGGACGAAATCCTGCACCACCAAACAAAGCCTGGAATGGTCTGATTCCCCGGTAAATACCAACAAACAATGGTTTCAACCATGGTTTCAAAGTGGTGCCTAAGCGGATTTCGCAACCATCCACAGTACCCCAAGCGCCTTGGAGATTGTTTGAGGCAAATGGACAGCCCTTGGAAGGTGCGGGTCTTGTTTCTTGTTTTTTTCCTGTCGGATTCGCCCAGCCCGTGTTTAAACGCACCAGAAGGAATAGGAGTTTCAACAAACAAGACTCCAATCACTTCCACGTGGAGAAACCGCGGTTTTTTGCGGCAGGTTTCGGGTGCTGGGCGTGAATCGTGTGACCCTTGTTGGCGTGCTTGTTGGCGTGAATCGTGTGACCTCACCAGTATCCAGACAGAAGTCCACTACCAGCACCCCCAACAGCAGCTTTCGGACAGTACTTGCGATTCTGCACAGTAGTTGGGGGGTTCTGGAACCTTACGAGCTCTTTTTATTTTTTCTCCCCGCGGCCTTTAGACCTTTCGCGCGCCGCGTTTTTTTTTCTTCTTCTTTTCCCCCGCCCAACGCGGGGGACTTCCCGCGCGTTTTTGAAGGCGGGGGCAGAGCGCCCGAGCCGCGCGCGTCTTCGACGTCGGGCGTCGCACGTCGCACGGCGCGAGGAGGGGAAGGGCAAGCCGCTGGCCATCGAGAAGCCGGTGGAGTACAGCCCGGGGCAGAGAGTTGACGAGTTCAGCGGATTTTTTGCCCGGGGAGGTTAGGGACTTGAGCACCTAATTTGCCAACTGGTGAACTAGTGAATGGGTTTTCCGTATGAAAGCGCCAAGAGTTAAAATATTGTAGGAGGGGAGCAGAAAGCAACTGGGAGTTGGGTTGGGTTGGAGCTGGTGGTTGGGAATTTCAGAGAAGGAAACTGGGGGGTTGGTTGGGGATCCAGTGAAGTGTGAAGATTGGATTGTGAAGTTGGTTGGTTGGTTGGTTGGTTGGCTTGCTTGGTTGCTTGGTTGGGGTAGTTGCGATCCCAGATCTGTATTCGGCGTTTTTTTTGTCCGGGTTTAGCGGTTGGAATCATCACAAGCGGGATTTAAAAGATCCGGGGTCAACATCAGGGAGCTCTTTCGGCCAGATGGTGGAGGCTTGTCTTCTTGTGCCACGGAGTGCGGAATTGGGACCACCCGGCTTTTGATGGGGAAACCTCGAGCCTTTTTTTTTTTAAATCGGGGTTTGGACTGGAAATTTGGATGGAACCCAGATTCAGCCTCAATTTGAGACAAATCCGCGAGATGCCAAATGCCAGGATTAAGGATTTCCCTGAACAAATCTGACTTACGGCCATTTTGAAGGAGTGGAACGTGGCAAATGAAGTGACGGAGGTGCCAAATGTAATGAACGTGATGTCTAAGGGTCAGCAGAGGGACAAAATGATGGACGAATCCGAGCCTGGGTTCTTTTACGGGTACGTGTATTTGATCATGGAAAACAACTGCATGGAGCCTGGGGTAGAAGAAGAGACTTTGTGCTCGAAAGGTTTTCTTCCAGTTTGCCTTCAAACGCCTTCAAAGCAAGCACGCCCGAATCCCCAGGAGTGCTTTTCTCTCGTTTTCTTCCGAGTCAACTTCCTGAATCCCTGGAAAGCATGCCACAGGTCTGTTTGACGTCTTCAAATGCATCGAACCATGTCGCGGTTCCTCTACCAGGGATGTCCGGCTGTTGGCCCTGGTGGAGCACACTCAGACTTGCACGCTCAGGACCTTCGAATCCCGGGCTGAAGTCAGGGGGGTCCTTTTGCCGCCTTTTGCGAGAACATTGGCGACCCCCTCAAGAAGGAATCCTTCACTACAAGGGGGTCCATCATTTTTCCCGCCAAAGGTGGCAAAAAGACCCGCCTGGTTGAAGTGGCAACTGCCGAGATGGAGGGTTGCTATGTGGCAACTCCCGTGGCCGAGGTGCCGAGGTGGAGGGCATTCCCGGTGCCGTTGTGCCTGCAACCTTGCTGAACTCTGAGGTCAGCGGCGGGAAGAGTTTGTTGGGCCGCGATGTCTCGCGAGCGTTGGCACTCATGGTGAGACGCCAGCGGCTCCCAAGACTGGTGCGGGCGGCGCGGAGCAGATTGAGGACATTTCGTGAGAAGATGCTGTAAAATGCGACATGCTACAGGCCAAGATGAAAAACGAAGAACAACATAATTCAACCAAAGCAGAAAACACAAAACATATTTCCAAAATAAATCCGCCCCCGTTTGGTTCTTTGAGATCCGATTGCTCGGAGACGAGGCGACTTGCTGCGGGATGCGATGGCACTGGAGAATGACGACTCTCTGGAGGAGCTGAGGTGCGCATAATTTTCCGTGTTTTTTTCTTCTTCTTTTTTTTCTCCAGTTGTTCAGTAGCACCCTTTCATTTTTCCCATCCTTTTCCTTCTTATGTTTGGTGAGGATTCTCGTGATTTATGTCTTTTTCGACCAGGGGCACCCTGGGCCAGGGGTGCTGCGTTGGAAAGTCTCTTAGAGATCTCCGCAATTCATTTGAATGTCGACCCATGATCAAGAACCTCCCATGGTGCCTTCTTTCAACTTTTTTTGGTGGGTGATAGTGCCTTCTTTCCTTTTTTTGGTGGGTGATGGTGCCTTCTTTCCACTTTTTTGGTGGGTGTTCTCATGGAACTCCCCTGGGCTTCGGTCTTGGTATTGATCCGCGGCCCGTAGGCAGTGATTGAAGATCGGTTCTTTGCTTCGATTCCGTGGCCGGATGGTACGGCTTAAGTCCAACTCCCAACATGGCGCGGAGTCCCAGAACTTTTCGTCCGAAAGTTGCAGGAGACGTTCTTTACCGGTCACACTATGTAAAACGCCGGGTCTCCTCCCCCAAATCAAGTTTGTCAGAAAAAGACGGCTCTAGGCAGTTGGTGCTATCCCAGGCATTTCCAAGCGTCTGGACTTCATATGTTTTGGAAAGACACATTTTCTGGTAAACAACGGCGTTGAGTTATTCTTGTACACTCCCTCAGACTAACATGGAAACTCCCAGAAGGCCTCTGCAAATGGGTCACCAAGTCTTCCAAAACGGTCTGTTCGGGAGCTTCCACGTTCGCCTGGGGTAGGGTAAATCAACGCAGGACATGAGACAACTTTTTCGGCTGAAGCCTACTCGAGGCGGATGATCAAGCGCACTCGGGGCAAGATGGACACGGAGATGAAGGCCCTCGGGTGTCGCGCAGGTCAAAGTTTCGCGGTGCAGACAAGACCAAAGATTTTGTCTTTGGTGTGACACCTTAGCCCCGCAGACCTTTTGGAAACAAGATGGCTTCTTCATTAAAACTAAAGGTTGAAGACTTTTGTGGTCAGGAAGAGGGCAACCCCCTTTGGCCTGAAAGTGGTCCTTCCTCAACTTTGATTTGCGTCTTTACTTTGTTGGACAAACTCGTTGGCTTGAGGCGAGTAGTTATTTTACACAGAATGGTCATGATTGGTCCATGCTTGATTTTGGGTCGCGCAGTACGGTAAATTGGCCAAATTAGAATGGGATTCTTCCACTCTAGTTCCTAGTTTAGGGCGGTTCAGAGAGCCTGCCGGAACCTTTGCATCTATATTGTCCATTTTAGGCTGCCTTGCACAAACTGCATGGGCCCACTTTGCAGCGTGGGATTCCTGGAGGCATGCCACGCTTGGTGCTAAACGAAGGCTTGAGACGAGGTCCCAAGGTTCACCATGCACGGCTTGCCTTAGTCGCCCTCGGGGCATCTTTGCGGGTCCCCTAAATTCTGTAAGGACAGATCCTGCCGGAAATGGCCTCTAGACCCAGGCTCATTTTGATGTACCCCATGTGAGGTTCGAGATCGACATTTCCGGTTTGTGTCAACTTGGGAGACCCCAAAAGCTCTCCCAAAGCTGCTGGTACTATAATCAGGGCCAAGGCTTTTTTTCGGCCAGTGTTTGGGGTCTTCCTGAGGCGGAACATTGCGTGCAAATCTCGGTGGAGATTCATACCGGTGGACCCTGATCTGTTTTGACCCATGACCTGGTTGCTCTTCGTCCACTGAACTATGCAACATGTTCAACCTCTGGACAACGACAGTTTCCACCTAACTGTGGGCAAGGCAACAGGGCCGCACGGAGGGAGTAAGCAGTTAACCACTCTTTGGCAGGATCACAAGTTGAGCCCAGATCCCCTGAATGATAGAATAGTCTTAGGAATCCTGTCTTGGCACGACCGCTGTCCAGTGGGTTGCGAGCTCTTGTTTGTTTCTTTTTTTGTGCGTTTCCCTTCAAGGTCAGCTACCAAAAAAGACTGCGGATTCTTTTTCCCCATGGCCACTGAAAGTCTGGGGTCAACCCACTTTGCCCTGAAATCCAGAGTGCCATGTGGCCATGGGTCAAAATCCAAATCGTACCCCCAGTTTTCACATCCCAATCCCCACTAAAATAGGTTCTAAAATGGGTGGTGAATTCACCCAATCCACCCAAAATGGGATCCCAAAAACGGTTTTGACCACCACAGCCATGCTGGCCCCCGTCTGCAAAATCTGCACAGGTTATGGACGGCTTCCTCTCGGAGGTGAACCACATCAAAACCATGCAGAGGAGCTCCGGACGTGAGGTTTCGGGTTCCGGATACGCGGGGCGAGCCACTGAGCTCCCCCGAGACAAAAAAAAAACCAAGTTTTACCATGTCCTCTTGGGGAAGCTCTCGTCATTTTGAAAGGCTAAGATGCCCTGACATGGGGCTTGAAGCCTCAAGGTGTGCTTCTAGTTTGTGTTTCTTGTTTCTTTGGCAATCAGGGGATATAGTGGGTTCTTTTCCAGGGTGGTGGAGTCTGTTCGAGGGTGCCTGACAATACGTGATCTGCTTTACTTCACTGTTCCTGGCGGGTGTTTTTGTTGTTGAATTGCTGTTTGCCTGTGTTGCTGTTGTACGTTTGTTCGAGTGGTTTGTTTGCAGGACTAGCTGTGGGTGTCGTTTGCTGGTGGGCCGTCACGAAAACAAGCCACAAACCACCAGGCACCAGTTCGTTGATGCTAACATCCCGTGGTTTCCCTAAGCATTGCATGCAATTCAGCTGCATATCCCCAGTTGATAAGTCCCCCAAGTGGGTTACTGTATAAGTAGGGGACATGTGTCTTTTTTTAGGGTAACCCCCAAATTGTGGTTTCCCTTTTGGTTTCTCTTTAGAACTGTGGACTTGTAACTGTGGCTATTCACCACCTATGTGGGGTGGTTATCCATGCAATGAAAGGCCTTCAAGGGTTGCTCAGCGCAGCCCCCCAGAACCATGACCCCAAATACCAAGCCCTCCTTGGATGATCCAGCAGTTCGCTAAGTGGCTAGTAACCCCTAGTTAGCCCGTAACCCACTGTAAACACTTAGCAGGACAACCTTTTCGCCATGGTCAAAATGACGTTTCCTCTGCTGGTCAACGCTGCTCAGCCAATTTGGTTCCTATTCACGGAACGACACATGTAAGGAGCCCATGTCACATGCGATCCCCAGACCGTCTAAGGACCCCTGCACAGGGTTTCATGTTTTGCCTACAAGACAGACTTTTTTCCTCCCAGGGGTTGAACTCATATAAACCCAGGGTTCCGAAAAAGGGACACCGATTGGTCTACCTTGAGGTTGTCATATGGACTTGTTTCACTTTGCGCTGAAGGAGTTTCGAAGAGCCCATGGCAGCGTCGGGGCAGCCCGGTCTTGGCGCAATTTTGGCGATCGCGGCAAAAGGGAACCCCATTTTTGTTGGTTTACAGCGACACTTGTTCAAAGGTTGTTTTGGCTTACAGCGACACGTCCGAAATGGAGCTGCCCATCCTTCGCTGTGAGGATTCTGGGACACACGCGGGCGTTGGTGGTTGCTGCTTTCGAGATCTGGGCTTGAGACAAGCCCTGAGGCTCATGTAGCTGAGTGGCACGACACCCAACTTGAAAGCTATGGAAGCTTTCAGGGAAATGATGTGTGGTGGGTGTGTGTTAGTTTGGGGTAGCATTGAAGTTTGGTTTGAAGGGCAACCAAAAGGAGCACCAATTTTGGGTCCCCCTATCTTGACCCATACGCAGTCGCCATGAGGCTCCCTTCTTGCGGCAGCAAGTTCGCGCTGAAGGATCTGAAGGTGGGAAGTTGAGCTGTGCCATCCCAGACACGTCGTGTCGTTTCAGCTTTTGGAGGCTTTCCCTTTCACATCATCCCAGTGATGCCTGGTTCCTTGCCCCTTGTTTGCGGGGGATTCCCCTCAAAACTCGACCGAGAAACGACGTTTGTTTCTTTTTTCCCCCGTGGCCACTGAAGGTTTGGGCCACGGGCAAGTTGCTTCCTTGGGGACGGTTCGGACGTACCGGTTGGGCACACCACGTTGGGATCCAGGGGCCGTTCTGATTGTTTTCTCACTGTCCATGGCATGTTGTTTACTTTGGATTCTCATCATTTTCGTCATGTTCGTCTTTTGCAGCAAAAGACGATACCAGGTTTGAGGAACCATGACAGGAGTTTCGAGGCTTGGCGAGCTGTCAGGTTGGGTGCTTCTGGGGGTAACTTATTCTTAAGCCCCGACATGAGACACGCATTCCCAGTGTGGCACCAATTGGTACCTTTTTTTGTTTTGAAATGGCAACCAACACGAATCCCGAAGCACTTTGTTTTTGTGTGTGTTTTTGTGGGGGGGGGTCCAACCTGAAACCAGACACACCCAATTTACTCTTTCCCTTTTTGTTTTGTGGATTCTCCGCGAACAGTGGACCCCCAGGTTCCCCTCTTAGCTAGGCAAGTGCTCCGGAGAGACCTGCTCTGCAGGCAGGGAAGTGGGGCGGCTGGGGGTTTTCTTGGCTAACTGATTAGTAGCCCTAAGAGTGCAGCAGGGCGTCAACAGTGGGTTGGCTGGGTACCGAGCCTTAGCTAACTCCCGGACCATCCAGGTAGCGCTGTTCTGGCCATACCCAGTGCTTCCAGGCAAGCCACTACATTGGGTAGTGTAACTCCAGTGCTACCTTCCCCATTCTTTCCAGGGATCCGTCTTTCCAGAAAACCTCCGGGAACTCAGGGAAAACTCGATCCGGTGTTTGGAAAGAACGATGGTTGAAGAGAATGGGGAATCAAACCCTAGAGCAACCGCTTCTTTTTTCGTGAAATCTCGCATCATGCGTTGTGGACTTTCCCTTTTGACGGGACCCAGCGCCACCTAACAAGTTGTCTTGACGGGTCTGAGGCTCCAGAGCAGCTCCAAGGAAGGGTTGGCGGGCATTGCAGTAGATATATCTCTGAAACTTTAAATGGGCAGATCACCTGAGAAGCTTTTTGAGAACCTGATTGGTATTTGTATTGTTATACTTATTGTCGTTGTGATTTTCACTGCCTCCGTGACTGTTATTGAACCAAAAGTTCGGGAGTCTTGTTTGGGCCAATCCACTGGTGCGGAAGTGAGTGCTTTCAGGAACTCAACAGTGGTGTCCAACAAAGCCCACGTGTTTCGAGGGCTTGGCCCCGCAGGGAATTCGATCTGCGCCTGAGGGTTGAGGTGTGGTCGGTTGATGGTCGTGGCTACGTACCCCATTGTAGGCAGATTTTGATGGGTTTGAAGAGTGTGAAGGTGGGCTATCTGGGAGTTAGTTGGGATTACTTGGCTAAGTCCTGGACCTTCTAGATTTTCTTGTACGCAGGCACGCCAGTATGGTGGGCAACTAGGGGGTTCGCCATCATGCAAACTCTAGAGGTAAGATTTCCTGGCAACCAACCATGGTGACAACCTGGAAGCGCTTTGAAGCCTTCATTGTTCTTCTATTTGTTGAAGGGTTGTTCCCTTGGTTACTTGCCATGGCAAATGTCGATGTCTTGAACTTGGAGCGCCCCGTTTGGAACAGATTTGAAAAGGAATTCACCTTGAATGCTCTTGGGGAAGCACATGGGTGACAATAGATGGCACAATCATCCCACTTTGGTTTAGTCATGTGCTTGCCGACAGACAGGGAATGGTGCCATCTGCCTTTACCGGGTGTACTTGTTGCCTTTTTTTTTGAAAGGTGGTTTCCTTGCTTAGCTGCCATCCAGCTGCATGGACCAATGCAAAACGGGCGCGCCATTTTTCGAGGGCATCCTTTTGGGGCTACTTTAAAAGGACCTAGGGCAAAGCTGTACTTTGATGTCTTTTGTTTTACACCCAGATGACTTTGGTCAAGCGGAGCTGGGGGGTTGGGCTGTTTTGCCCAGGCCTCGCCAGACTCACCGGTTCTGTGGGTGGGGAAGGGACGGACACCGGACGCTCCCTGTCTGGCAGACCAGCTCCTCGGCACTGGCGCTGGAGAGTGCGGATCCCGGAAAAGTTAGGGTTCCAGAGGGACAGGAGAGATGCAGATTGATGGGAGTTTTGGGGGCACCGAAATGGTGGCTTCAATTTTTCTACTATCATATTTAGTTTTCTTTCAAGGATATATATATATATGTATAACTTTGGCTTCTTTGGTTTCCGGTGTTGTCCTTCTTGGTTTTTATCGAAATTCGGGTATCGGCAACATGTTTCGACGTTGAGACCCAGGCCCCTTTACAAGGAAGCCAACAGGAGGCTGTTGATAAAGCGGCAGTCGGATATTGTGTAACAGGGTTACCCAACCCTGATTACGTGCAGTTTGAGTTGGGTAGTTCCAGCTGGGTGTTTCCCGAGTCTGGAGACGGCCTACGCCCGTGTACCGTTGTTTTTTCTAAGGGCCCCTTTTCGTGCACGCCTGGCGAGAACTGTGCCCAAAAACGCAACAACGCCGCGCATTCGCAATGGATACCTAAACATGGTTTGCAAGACTTGATTGCCTGAAAAGGCCACCCTCCCACCAATTAGCATGGAACCTGCCAGGGGGCGCCTGGAAGACCATTGTCCTTGTAAAGGGAGGCTAAATGGTATCATTTCACGAGATGTGAAGGGTGTCTACTCAGGCCCAAAACAGTGCCCTCTACATGCTCAGGGCGCCCAGAGTTTGATTCCCATGGCGCTTTGCGTCCCACAAGGCAAGTGGCTCCGGGAAAAAGGGGAAATGAGGCGACAGGGCCGCACCCAAGTCTGTGTGTCAATTTCTCTTTTGGAGCAGGCCTTTTGCCAAAGGGTGGGTGGGTGTTTCTTTTTTGGTGGTTCCACATAAAGAACAACCCCTACTCTGGGCAATTTGCTTGATGTTTCAGACCAGACAGTTCCCCCAGCTTTTCTTCTTTTAGGTGAAGAACTGGTATAGCTTCCGGTGAGCCATTTCTCAGGGCTTTTGCGTTTCTTTCGCAGGGTGAAGGGATCCGATTCCAAGGCCGGCGCCTGCCCAAGCGCTCCGGCTCGCCTCGCCGGCGGAGTTTTTTGGCGGAAGTTCCCCCGTGTTTTTAGGGAGCTCCGAGGATGTGGGCAATTGGGTTGGGGGGTTTACCGGTGCAGCTGCGACTTTGGAAGGGCAAGTCCAGAGGGGCCCCTGTTGTTGTCCAGTAATACCGTAACACCAGTCTTTTTGAAGGGATCCCTTTCCCAGTTTTTGCTGGTAGGGAGCCAGACGAAAACATATGCCGGTAGATGCTATTTGCAGGCGCGCATGCCCTTCAAAGGTCCAGCCAGGACGGAGCCAGCTCCTTTTTCGCAGGGCCGACACCAGGTACCCAAGGAGCTTTGCGCGACAGCTCTTGAATTTCGGGCCCTTTCTTTTTGTTGCTTCGGTCGAAAGAATTGCAGCTGGTAAAGAGGCGAACAATTGAATCGCATGGGTCAATTGGGAAATTCTCTCAACCTCTTGGTGCCCTCTGCGTTTTTTTCTTTCTGCAAGCATCATTGAAAGTTACTCTCAAAGTTTGGACACCCCTAAGATGTGTCCTGAAACTGGCTTCGGTTTCACCCCACCCGGGGAACCCAGGGAAACCTTCCGGGCTAGACAAATCCTGGCTACCTACTTTGATGGCAACTAGGATCCGCTGCAAATCCACCTTCGTTTACTGCGGCCAAGGGAACGCCTGTGCTCGGCCCAATCGGAAAGGCTTGTTGCTCACCTCAGCTTCCGTAGGACCGAAGGAACTTTGAGCCCCAGGGCTCGTTTTTCGCCGGTTTGGTCGTTTTTCGAAATGGCCGTGGGTCAAAAGCAATGGGATCGAGCCCAGTTTGGGGTAGGTGAATTCACCACCCATTTTCGAGCCTATTTTAGTGGGGATTGGGATGTGCAAGCTGGGGGTACGATTTGGATTTTGACCCATGGCCAAATGGGGACAGGCAGGTCGTTTTTCCGTTCGGTTTACCCCCAAACGAAGCATCCAAGAGGGCGACCCCACCGCCAGGATGGCGCACTCGCAGCCGGAGCGCATAGAGTTTCGAGTGTTCGACGGTCATCCGTTGAATGGGAGCATCCCAAGAAACTCATTCTTTTTGTTTCCTGGTGCTCAGCAGGGAATGAGGGAATGAACCTAGGAATTCCCTTAAAGGAAACCATAGGGGATGGTTTATACGGCTCGTTCCCTCATTCCCTGCTGAGCACCAGCAAGCTGTTTTAGGTTGGACCCCTACAAATAGGCTTCGGCTTTCCATTCGGGCTCCCTTTAAAGCCACCAAGACACGGATCCAAAAAGGACGCCCATGTGTTAGAACCCACGCTTACCCATTTTGTGCCAGATGGTTCCTGGTGACCTTGTGCAGGCAGGATTTTACGGGATCTCTTGGGAAATATGCACTAGGCAAGTGCCAGATGTACTTTTTGGTCTATTGCTTTGGGGAGGGTCATGCCCGGGGCGCCCAGGAAAGCGATTGCTTCCCATCCTGCTCCTTTGTTCCCGCATACTGGTGGGGTTCGGTTGGGACTTGAAGGGTCTGCCGTGGGTGTTTGCTTGTTTGACAACAGGACGTTCCCCAAAACCATATAAAAGTTTCGCAAGCATCCATATGACAAGAGGTAAAGCGCGGCCTTGTGTCTGGTAACTCTCCTTCCGTTCACTCGGTTCCATGGAAGTGGACGGGAGGGTAACCGTAGCCAAATCAGCACACCAATTTCAATAGTGCATGTTGCTATGAATGCTACGGCAATCCTGTGGATGGACGAACCTGCGAAGCCGTGGAAGGATGATTCCCTTACAAATACCCACAAACAACTCATGGCTTCAAAGGTGAAGGACGCCCATCCATAGCAGGGAACCCATGATGTCCGCCAAAGCTTTGGTCAGCCACGTAAAGTCCATACCCCAACATATGGCGACCCCTTTTTGGACCCTTTTTACACATAAACCATGGCCCAAAAAGGGTACTCGTATTTGACAACTCCCCCATATATGTATGATGAAAACATGAACCACTTGAATTACTTTTGGAGAGATCGGCATGCTGCACGTTATGAAGGGCGGATCGCCCAAGGCTACATCTTGGTTAACGTGGGGTGACCGGAGTTCGCGAATGGATCCTTTGGGAGATGATTGCGTTTCATTGGACCGGCAAACTGAAGCCCAGTTCTTCTACGGTGACGACTTTTAAATATGTGGGGGCCGTGCCTGGGCTTCAGGGCTGGGAGGTAGTGCATCTGTTTAAATCGATATTTAGAGTGGCTGGCCGCATAAAAACAGGGCGTAACACAATTCAATCCCTTGCTAGCAGCTGCGTTGCGCTAGCTCCTGCCAAGCCAGCTCAGATTGCACAGGTCCAATAAACGCCTGGAATTGCGGAGCTAAGTGCGCTGACTTGAGCTGCCCAAGCCCTGTGTACGTGGCTCGTGGAGAAAGAAAGCAAGAAGAACACGAATGCCCCTTGTCTCGGACGGGACTCCCAGAATTCCTTGAATTCTTCAAACTCCTGGCGTCTCGGGATGGGACCTGCTTTTAAACAAATCTCAGAATGAAAAGAATTGGAAGAGAGAGAGAGAGAGAGAGAGAGATAATGCCTGGATCTGGCATTGGGCCCTGTTTCAGACCTGTTTCAGACCCTTGCAAAAGCTCCATCTCAAATTCGCAAAACTTTGCCCCGAATCCCCAGCACCAGTACAGCGGTGCAGCGGCTCGCGGGCCGTGGAGGTAGTATGAAACACCAATTGAGACATGGTGCAACACTGATGCCTGCAATTGCAGAACAATGCTTTCGTAATTCCATGCTACATAAACGCCTGGAATTGCGGAGCTAAGTGCGCTGAATTGAGCTGCCTAAGCCCTGTCTACGTGGCTCGTGGAGACAGAAAGCAAGAAGGACATGAATGCCCCTTGTCTCGGGCGGGACTCTCAGATTTCCTTGAATTCTTGAAGCTCCTGGCGTCTGGGGATGGGACCTGTTTGTTAATTACACCAGCATAGACCCCAGATAGCACATACGAACCATGACGCAGCACCGTAACGGTTCCCAAGGCATCATGATGATGTTGTCAACATGATCATGATAAGTTAACATCATCATGATGATACCACAGCGACTCATGCATGGTGCGCTAAATAGACGCGCAGGCAACGTCCTACTGAGTTCAGCAGCATAATGATGATGTTGATATCCTCATGCTGATACACTAGCCGCGAACGATCCCGCGCTACATATCTAGCAAAACGAGGCAGAGACCGCGGCATCATGATGATACGCACAGCATCATGATGATGCGGGCCTCACCGCCATGATGCGGACAGCATCATGGTGATGCGAACAGCATCATGGTGATGGCAATGGCAGCATCATGATGATACAGCCACAAAATCATCTTGCGACAGCGTAATGAAATTCAGCATCATCCCGACGTTGACAACATCATGCTGCCACCACACCCGCGAACCATAACCCAGCATGGTAGTGATTCCAGCAGTATCATGACGTGGTTGCCAACATCATGATGATACACTAGCCACAAACCACTACACGCGACAGAATCGGTGCAACAGCATCATGATGCTGCGGACAGCATCAGGAGGATGCCACAACCGCGCTACTCCGAACAGCACCCGCCCTAGCACCCTGCCATCCATATGCGCCCGCACCGACACCAGCGCCGCAAAAACTGCAGTCCCGGCAGCACCCCAACACAGCACTGTCACCAGCACCTCAACCGAACAGCGCCCTCACCTGCGCCAGTACCCCAAAGCGCACGACCCCCCGCCAGCCCTCGATTGCAAAACAAGTCCCCTTCTTCACTAGAAGTTAGAACCGCTATGGCTTTCAGTTTTCTCGGAAATACGCGCCCGCGCGGTCAGCAGCACCTCAAACAGCAACCCAAAACAGCAACCCAAAACAGCACTTGCACCACCACCCCAAACTGCATGCCCTCTAGCACCCGCCGGTAATCTCGGCCCGACGTCACCAACACCTCAAACAGCACTCCAAACAGCGCCCCAAAACAACACCTGCATCAGCACCCCAAACTGCTTGCGGCCATCAATCCACCAGCACCTGAAACAGCACCCCAGAGCAGCACCTGCACCAGCACCATGCGCTGAATGCCCCCATGCCCCCTGGCCCGGCCGTCGCCTCTACCAGCACCCCAAACCGCATACCCCCCTAGCACCCGGCCATCGCATGCCCCCTAGCGCTCTCGCAAAACAGCACCTCCACTAGCACCCCAAACTGCATGCCTTCTAGCGCCCGGCCGTCAAGCTCGCCAAACAGCACCTCCACCAGCACCCCACACGCCCCCTCCTCCAGCACCCCAAGCCGCATGCCCTCTAGCACTCGGCCGTCAATCTTGCAAAACAGAACCTCCACAATGCATGCCCCCTAGCGCCCCAAACTGCATACCCCCTAGCACCCGGCCATCAAGCTCACGGCCGCCGCCAAGCTCGCCAAACAGCACCTCCACCACCCGAAGCCTCTCGCAAAACAGCACCTCCACTAGCACCCCAAACTGCATGCCTCCTCACCTCCACCAGCACCTACAACCGCATGCCCCCAAACTGCATGCCTCCTAGCACCCGGCCGTCAAGCTCGCAAAACAGCACCACCAGCACCCCAAACTGCATGCCTCCTACCCGGCCGTCAAGCTCGCCAAACAGCACTCAGTCTCGCAAAACGGCACCTCCACCAACACCCCAAACTGCATGACCCCTAGCACTCGGCCGTCAGTCTCATGTCAGTCTCGCAAAACAGCACCTCCACTAGCACCCTGCATGCCTCCAGCACCCCAAACTATATCCCCCGAACTGCATGCCCGGCCGTCAAGCTCGCAAAACACCACCTCCACTAGAACCCCAAACTGCATTCCCCGCAGCACCCCAAACTGCATGCCTCCTAGCACCCGGCCGTCAAGCTCGCCAAACAGCGCCTCCACCAACACCCCAGACCGCATGCCCCTAGCGCCCGGCCGTCAGTCTCGCAAAGCAGCACCTCCACTAGCACCCCAAACTGCACGCCTTCTAGCACCCAGCCGTCAAGCTCGCAAAGCAGCATGCCTCCTGGCACCAGCCGTCAAGCTCGCCAAACAGCACCTCCACCTCCACTAGCACCCCAAACTTCATGCCCCCCAGCACCTAGCCGTCAAGCTCGCCAAACAGCACCTCCACCAGCACCCCAAACCGCATGCCCCTAGCACCCGGCCGTCAGTCTTGCAAACAGCACCTCCACTAGCACCCCAAACTGCATGCCTCCTAGCACCCGGCCATCAATCTCGCAAATCACTTTTCCTTCTTTATTAGAAGTTAGAACCCCTATAGCTTTCAGCTATCTGGGGAATTAACAAATCTCAGAATGAAAAGAATTGGAAGAAAAGAAAGAGAGAGAAAGAGAATGCTTGGATCTGGCATTGGGCCCTGTGTCAGACCTGTTTCAGACCTGTTTCAGACCCCTGCAAAAGGACCATCTCATGTTCGCAAGACCCCGCCCCGAATCCGTAGCACACGCGTCAGCTCCTGCCAAGCCACACAGGTCCAACCTAAGGCGCCATGTCGGCGCAACACTGATGCCTCTTTTTGCAAACCAACGCTTTCGTAATTCCATGTTACATAAGCGCCTGGAATTGCGGAGCCAAGTGCGCTGACTTGAGCTGCCTAAGCCCTGTCTACATGGCTCGTGGAGAAAGAAAGCAAGAAGGAGCGTATTTTTAAACCCACAGAATGAAAAGAATTGGCAGAGAAGAAAGAGACGCAAGGGAGAGAGAGGGAGAGAGAGAGAGAGAGATAATGCATGTGGCATTGGGCCCTGTGTCAGACCTGCTTCAGACCTGTTTCAGATCCCTGCAGAAGGAGCATCTCATATTCGCAAAACCCTGCCCCGAATCCGCACAAGCGCTGGCCCTTGCCAAGCCACACAGGTCCAACCTAAGGCGCCATCGGCGCAACACTAATGCTTCTAATTCAAGACCAACGCTTTCGTAATTCCATGCAACATAAATGCCTGGAATTGCGGAGCTAAG